ATTGTCTTCGTCAGCACCATCAAACTTGAATTCGTCTGGGTTCATACCTTCGTCAATGAGAGCTTCTCTCAGACGTGCAACTAGTACTTCTTTGTTGCCACTTGTGACAAGGCTTCGTTTCTGTAGTTCTTCTCGTAGTTGAACTACGTTCAACCCACACAGTTTTGACATCGTGTTCTTTTTCTACGAGTAGTAATTCGCTGGTCGAAGATCCCACTTCTGACACCAATGTTATAATACTCGCTGTCGTAACCGGTTTACGATGCGACGGGTTCAAATCTTCGATTGAATAAAATACTCCAAACAGTTATTAAACTTTATTTACAGAAGAAATCAACTATTATTAGTTATTAAACTTTATTTACAGAAGAAATCAACTAATCGTTTATTTCCAGTAAATTCGCACTAACGCAACAATTAACTTTTAAATCTTTCAAAATCTATCGCTATGACAACGTCAACAAACAATTCAAATATCGCTTTAAATAATTCACCGAATCGCTATTCACAAAATCACGAATTTCACTAATCACGAATATCACTAATCACGAATATCACTAATCACGAATATCCCAATCACGAATATCACCAATCACGAATATCACCAATCACGAATATCACCAATCACAAATATCTTGCGACGTGCGCTTATATACTCTTCGCAAGCGTCGTTTCTAGATTCTTCCCGATGGTCCGATTCCAGCATACTCTAGAACGTTCCAGTCACTAGAACATTCTAGAATACGCTAGAATCTAGTGCGTTCGGTAGCACGGTTATAACAATATATTGGATTAAAGCTATTACCTAAACAATTTTAACAATTTTTATTATATTCAATAGCAACTGTATTATTAATTAACTTAGATTTTAAATAATAAAATAATAACAGATACAGTAAAATGTAAATAAAAAAATTAATAAACACTATTGAACAAATTAAAACTAATAAAACTAGAATAAAGTATTTGCAACAAAAAAGCTACGGCAATGTTGCCGAAAAGCCCCCGTATGTTTCTAATATGTTTCATTGCGCAAGGGTGAAATGATAATTATAATTGCATGATTCGATCAATCAATCTTCGTTTTGCGTCCAGAGACCCGGTTCCACGAGGTAGAACGTTTGATCATTTCAAATAAATTTTTACCAAATATTAAATCAATATTAGATATTGATCATTACCAATTGTCAAACGATTTATTAAAATTATTAAACAATTTGGCAGCGAATTATTAAAATTATTTAAGAATTGAACTAACTTTTGAACAAAAATAAACAAAACGACTCAGTAAAAAATTTGAAAAAATATACTCATTATTATATAAGTTAATAAAACGTGATCAAATAAAAAAAGTGTTAACAAACCTGTGGTGTTGTAAAAAAGATCAAGTTGAATTTGCTTTGAAGTCTGCTGGATATTGATGGCCTGCCTCCCCCTGGTAGCCCCATTGCAGATAACAACAGCAAATCCTTCCAACAACATATTT